GTTTTTTAGCTGCAGTCTTCATGATACCTTTGAAGGTTTGGATCGGAAATCGATTTTCTACAACTTTAATATGTTGCCTTAACCTACCCTTTTTGTAACATGGTTTCTGGGGGTAGGAAGGTTGACTTGGTCTTGAATGTATTATCAAGGCCTATATATGCACACAGTTTTCATTCCTTTTAGTATTTTCAGTTCAGACCACATTCTGGAGTCAAAATTGTTTGTGATTACATCAACTGAGAGATCTGTGGGTTTTATTTATTTAGACTGTCATCTTGCTTTTCATAAATATTGGAAAAATGATGTAGATAAGGCACTTGAAAATGGATACTTCTGTGCTCTTCATAGTCTTAGTGGTGCTTCATGCATCCTTGCAGAGTTTTATATTTCCATGTTTCTGCTGCCAGCTTATTAATGGATTATAATGTAGCTCCTCTTTCAAATTACTTTCATTACATTTTTCAGTAATAGAGGTAGCTTCCTGTGATGTGCAAATCATCTGGTATGTTTTTCTTTTAAAAAACCAAATTGACTGCAGCTTTAATTCCTTGGCTAAGGTGTGTTAAGAGGATGATTTGGATGGAAACCAAAAGCTTCTGTAATCTTCACAATGTGGGGAATTCTCATCCCATTTTGTACATTTGAAGGAACAATTTTCTGTTGGGTATAAGGAGCTCTGCTTTAGCTTCTTTCATTTGTAACATGTGCTTGGAAGAAAGCTGCTTCATTCAGAAAGAGAGGATGTTGTATTTTTAAACAAATTGTCTGAGAAGGACTTTATGGAGCCTCTGAACCAAAGGGCTGGTCAGTTCCATAGCTACTGATTCTTAGTAGTGCTGTAGCATCAGGTGCTCCTGATCTTTATAATTTACTGAGTTCTTCTTCCAGGTGGAATAAAGGGGCAAAGGGGAAGGCAGAAGATTGCATCATGTCTAAAATGAGTTGATAAATTTTACTTGAAAAGTAATGGGAGTACAGTTTATGACATGTTTTCCTTCCTTCCTTGGCAATGGGTCAGCTGGAAGATCAGGCTGGACAAATCCACTCAGGGACCCGACTCCTGCAGGTGGAACGAGAGAAAATGCAAATGGAGTTGAGTCACAAAAGGGCTCGAATTGAACTTGAAAAGGAGGCTAATACAAATGCAAGGAATTTTGAGGTGAGTTTGCTACTAACTCTGGGCTGATTTGATCTGGTTGATTTGGTCTCCTGGTACTCTTCTGGGATCCTGCGGTTGTGATGTTCATATGCAAGAGAATAGTCTTAAGGCAGCATCTCTTAGCCTCGAACGCTTGTGAAGTTAGAACAGGATGATGTTCCATCTCAAAAACAGAATACATGATAAATCTAGAATCTGCTCAAATGGTAACTAGTATGTGTGATGTGATGTTTATGTTTTTGGCACATATAAAAGGTTAACATGCATTTCTTCCTGTAAAGTGCTTTAGAAATTTACATAATAAAATAAACTGAAGATAGATCACTGTTGTGGCCAAGAAAAAACAAGTAGCTGAGGAGGTTCCTATTTCCACTTTGAGTCAAGTGATTTTTGCAGATTATTGCAGCATCAATTCAACCCCAAAATCTAGCTGAGTCAGTCACAGAAACATTTAAAATCCTCATACAAAAAAAGGGAGCAGCACTAATCCAGCAGTGTGGTAATTACCCTGCTCAAATTCTGCATTTTGGGAGTCATGTGGATAAAGGTTTTAGGAACCTCTTGCTGCTTTGCATAATCCTTGCTTAGTATGTAAATCCATAGCTTGTTTTGCTTTGATTAGCAGAGCAATTTGCCACACGTTTTCCAATGAGTGTTAATCAATTTGAGTTGGAAGTAAATGGAAACTGCTAGAAATACTTTTGGAATTCATAAATGGTGGTGGTTGTGAAACTTGAATAAATCTATCAGCAGAATTTAAAATCTCTCTGTGTTTATGTTATACTGTTTTAGACTGTTACAGTTATATAACAAAAAAAGTCTTCTGGCATCTTTAAAATGAAGAGATTTATTTTAGCATTAGTGTTTGTGGATTATAATCCACTTCCTTAAATGCATGGAGTACAGTATTCAGGCCTCAGGTATATATGCACAATTTGCATGTTTGTGGGATGAATAGGATGTGCAGAATATGACATTTGTGTTATTAAAAAGGTTAATACACTTTCACAGGGAGGCTTAGCTTAAAACGTCCTGACACTAATAAAACAAAGTCCAAAATCTACAAAATGGTGATATCTTTATTGGCCAGCTAGAATGCACAAAACACTTAATGCCAGCTTTCAAAGCTTCACTGGCTTCTTCATCAGGCAAAATCATAGAATCCTAGAGTTGGAAGAGACCTCAAGGGCCAGTAAACCCAATCCCTTTCTGCCATCCAGGAAGACACAATCAAAGAATTTGTAGGGTGGACATCCTTGTGAGTTATTTCTCACAAGGCTATATGGAGAGTATCTGTGTTTTCTAAGTATTTTGATTTTCCTTCCTCCATCCCCAAGCGGGAAGCCGATCGTAATCAAGAGCTCCTAAAGCGCATCAAGCAGTGTCAGGAAAGAGAAAAAGAGATGGAAAATAAGCTTCAGGAACAAATTGAAACCAACAAAAACTGTCAGAAGAACACAGAGACCTTGAATAGGAAGTTGGAAGAGAAGGAGAATAAACTGGCTGAAGCCAATGAGGTAGGACCAATCCAGTTTGTCTTGTAGTTTCATAATTTTTGTCATTTCTGAGCATACATGGGGGTTGGTAGAGACAGTGTTAAAGTTGTGACACACAGTTGATATGTGCATTCTACTTGCAGTGCTTAGATTTTGCCTTCAGAAGACAGAAGCATTTGAGTGCTAGAAAGTGTGGAAGTTGTTTTAGACCAGAGAGAGCATTTTTCAAAAGTAATGACAAAAAAAGTTTGCTTCAAGCTTCTGTTATTGATTCTGAACCCAGCAAATATATATTTGAAGACCACAACAACAGGAAAAGATTACAGGATGCATTTCGGGAGTAGCATCAACAGTTGAGTACAGTGTGGAAAAGCAAGTGTTTCATGATCTATAACTCTGGAATAGTTCAGCTCACAGCAGTGTAGTAGTTAGGGCCTAATTGTTTAGTTTCCTCTAAGGCATTTCATACAGTAGGAAGTAGGATTTGGAATTCTACAAGCCTGAACTCTCCCTGGAAGCCAAGATGACAAAACTGAGGCTGTTGTATTTTGGCCACATCATAGAAAGCCATGACTGATTAGAAAAGATAGTAATGTTGGGGAAGGTCGAAGATAGCAGAAAAAGAGGAAGACCACATCCCAGATGGCTAGATTCAATCAGGGGGCCATGGGCCTGAATTTGCAGGACCTAAACAGAGCAGTGGACTATGGTGGGGAGCTGGAGATGTTTCATCCATAGGGTCTCCATGAGTTGGGGTTGAGCCAACAGTTAATGATAACAAGAAATTGAAATGTAGATAAATGCTGGTTATGCAGCAATAATTAAGATAACAGTTACCATTTGTTGAACTTAATCATATTTTTTAATTCTCTAGTTTACATACTGTTCTGCATGTTTGGTAATTGTTCGAAGTAGGATGTTTTGTTGTGACCTGTCTGTATTATTTTGGATGCAATATTTGTTTGTAAAATTGCACATCCATGTGTGCTTTTGGAATGGATATGAATAGCTGAATGTACAGCTGATTCTCTGTATCCACAGATTCTGCGTCCATGGGTTCAACCATCCATGGCTTGAAAATATTAAGAAAAAAGAAATCCAAAAAGCAAATCTTAATTTCATCACTGTATATAAGGGACACCATTTTACTATGCCATTTTATATAATGGGACTTAAGCATCCATGGATTGTGGTATCTATAGGTGGTCCTGGGAAAAAAACCCCAGCAGACAACAAGGGCCTGCTGTGCATTAATTCCAGTGTTGTAAGTTTATTTTGAAATAATGGTATATGTAACCGAAGAATACGGAGAGAGAATAAGTAATTGTAAATAAGATTATTTTACAAGTCGGTACATGAGAGAAAGTAACTTTCTTGCAAACAAAGGACCCATTGAACATTCAGATCCTGTGGATCTGTACATAACATAGTTCTGAAGATTGTGGCTTGTACAGCTCCCTTGAAAACTTAAATACTGTTGCCTGTTTGGAGAATTTATGCAGGCTCTGTTTGAAATTCAACTGCAGAGAAAACATTCATATGGTGTTGGTGGAACAATTTGCATCCCTGTGATGAGTCCTTGTGTAGATGCAGAGTCTAACTTTGAAACTCACTATTTGCATGCCAGCTTGAGGTTACTCACTTAATTTGTGGTGACAGTAAGGGTGACAGATGAGAGCGCAAAGAATTGACTTTGCCTTTGTTCTGAGGTGATGACTTTAAAGATCTGATTATGAATTAGTGGTTCTTCGCTTTCATCGGCAATATTTGATCAGAGGCAGTTCATTGTCTTCAGCACCCAGTTTGGCGGTCCAATGGTGTATTTGTGCATTTTTTCTCTCTCAGACAATCAGTGTGCTGAAAGGGAAGATAGCAGAGTTGCAATGGAACTTAATGAATCAGGAGATGCAAATGAAGAGCCATGAATCGCAGAAGCAGGAGCTGACAGAACAGCTGGATGTACTACACAAGTGAGTAGGGGATTAACAACTGCCAGGAAATAAAACCTTTAGTCCTTGGCAGCTGGTGTCACGCAGAAAAAAAAAAGTTTCAACTGCTTTTGATTTTTGCTGTTCAAAGGGCTTCTTTGATCAGGATGTGTAGTGCTGAAAACTTGATACACTGAAAACAAAACAAAAAGTAGGAAATGGAAAAGAAATACTCAAAAACTTCTCTCCAGCAGGGGATTGGAATATATTGATGGGTCTGAGGAAGGCTAGTATAGGGGAAATAAATGCTTTTTCTTTCAGCCTTTTGTGGAGACCACTCCACAAAGAGCTAAATCCCCCCCCCCAAACTCCTGAATGCCTTTACATTTTTGCCTCCTGTGGGACATTTTGTGGAGAGCATGCGTGGTGTGATGGTTTGAATATTGGACTGGAACTCTGAAGACCAGGGTTCGATTCCCAGCTTGGCCATCAAAATCACTGAGGGGGAATACAGACACCCAAAAGGGGGGGCTTAGAGCCGCCTCTTTTAGGCTGGATTGGGCCAGGGCAAACAGATGCCTGGCCCCAGTCCAGCCAGAATCCGCCCTAAGAAAGAGTGGATAAGATCCATCCTTTTTGGGGCTGAAAAAAGCCATTCCTTCCCCCATAGAGCTGGCTTTTCCCTTTGAAAAGCTGGCTCTGGGGGAAGTGGCATCTATACTTCATGCCCCCAAGCATGACAGAAGCTGGCTGGCGTGTAATTGCCATTCTGGCTTCGATTCCGCTTGGGGGTGTGGCACATCTAAACTCCATGCCCCTAAGCCAACCCCAAGTGGGCTCAAATAGGCTGTCTGTACAGCCCCTGAGTAACCTTGGGCAAGTCACATGCTCTCAGCCTCAGGGGAATGCAATAACAAACCTTTCAATAACTCTTTCCAAGAAAACCCCATGATAGGTTCACCTTAGGGTTGCCATAAGTCAGAAAATTACTTGAGGGCACACAACAACAACAACAGTGGGCTATTTTAGATCCAAATGAGGATTGGTTGTAACAACAGAAAGTGTGACTTCACTCACTCCCTCTTTGCAAAAGAATTTTTTTTCTGGCTGGCAGTTGAAGCCACAACAACAGCCCTGGGCTTGCACATGGCCCACAGACCACACTTTGTCCATCCTGATTTTGTTGTTGTTGTGTGCTGTTAGGGTGTTTCTGGCTTATGGCGGCCCTAAGGTGACCCTATCACAGGGTGTCTTTTTTTGGCAACTTCCTTCAGAGAGGTGATTGCTCAGATCCTATGGGGCTGAGAGAGTGTGTGACTTGGTCAAACTCACCCAGTGGGTTTACATGGCCGAGCTGGATTTGAACCTTGGTTTCCAGAGTCATAGTCCAAAACTCAAACTATTACAGCATACTGGCTCATCCATCCCAGTTTGGACCTACCTAATTATGAGATAAACAAATGCTCAAAAATCTTGATAGTGATATGCTCAGGCCAAGGTCTCGTTCCACAAATATGCTGTTGTAACTGTTCCACCATAAGTTTTAGAAGCATTGGGATGGTGAGAGGTTAAGGAACCATAGACGCAGCACCATGAAGTAAAGAAGGCAGGTTCTCCATGTTCATAAATGGTCTGGAATCATGTCTACACCTATGATTGAATTTACAATGTGTCAGTCCGTAGAAAAGCAGATTCTGGTTGGAACTTCATTGGTATACTATGGGCCTTTACAGACTGCCAGAAATAATGCAACTTGAGGCCACTTTAACTGTTCTGGCTGAGTGTTAAGGAATCATGGAAACTGTAGTTTATTGTGACACCAGAGCTCTCTGAGAGAAGGATCAATGTCCCAGAAAAAAATACAATTCCCATGCTTCCCTAGCAGTGAGCTAGGACAGTCAAAGTGTTACTTGTATCTTGGCTGTGCATTGCCAGAAAGACATAGGAAGCAGATACATTTGTCATTGCCTGTTGAAGAAGGCTAATGGCTCCAGCTGGTTTCTTCAGTGTGAGCCTTCTGCAGGGTCCTTGGAGTTAAAAGCACAGTGAGAAGGATGGCTTACAAAATTGTGTGTTCCATGGCAAGGACAGTTTTGCAAGCCATCCTTCTCTGTAGCCCTGTGCAGCCAAGGAAAGCTGGATTATTTGAAATCATGGTAGTGAACCATAACTACGGGGTTCCAGCCAGAATCTGTCCCTTTTAGACACATAGTAAATATAATTGTAGGTATATGCAAGATTCCAGAGGGGGATATTAGCATGACATAAAATGGTACCATGGGAAATGGTCCTGGGGATTATAAAAAATCTGAAATCTGTTTTTGTTCAGTGTGCAGAATTGCCACTGTGTATGTAAGTAGTGTACTTGAGTTTCGAAATGTGCTTCTGCATATAGCAAATGGTTATCTTATGTCCAAATCCAATAGAAAATGGCAAGAAGCCAGTCAGCAAATTCAGGCTCTGCAAGCAAAGGAAGAGCTCGTGACTGAGATGGAACAGAAAGTTCAGGTGAGAGCCTTTTATTTTTCTCATGGTTGAATGAATGTCAATGTGCTCTAGCATAGTCTTACTCGGTTGTGGTCCTTGGACTGATGCTGATCCCTGAGCCATTGGGTGTCAGTTTCTGGTGAGCTTCCAGAAAAGAAAAAAAAAATGATTGTAGCAATTGGTCCCAAATGTGATGTCAATCCCTGGCAATCTTCAACAAAATTGACAGCCCTTCTCATCAGGTAGCTTGAGAAGCATATTGGTTTTAGACAAACAACAACCTCTTCTTCCACCATGTAATTAAGAAATAAAAATAAATTCTATAGGAAAAGAAAAGGTGCACAAAACATTTTTATTTTTCCACTGAATTGATCTGAATTATTTGTGGCTACTTCTTTGCTACTCTGGCTGTATCTGAATTACAGAAATATACAGTTTGACACTGCTTCAACTGCAATGACTTAATGCTATGGAATTTTGGGATTGGTAGTTTTGTGGGATATTTAGTTTTGTCTGTCAGAGATCTCTGGTGCCAGAACAAACTACAGATCCCAGGATCCCATAGTACTGAGCCATGACAGTTAAAGTAGTTTCAAATAGCATTATTTCTGCAGTGCAGTCCCTGTTTACATGTGAACTTGTTGGTTTGGATAGGCAGTGAAACTAAATATATAAAAAACTGCAAAGTTTTCAAATGTGACATTGTTTGAGCTAGTTTTTTAAATTGTTCCTTTGGCACTTTATTTTTCAGAATCTAGAACAAAAGCTCTCATTGCAAGAACAAGATGCTATAATTGTGAAGAACATGAAGACAGAGCTGGCACAATTTCCAAAAATGGAGCGGGAGCTGCAGCAACTTAGAGAGGAGAATGCTTACCTTAGGTTAGAAGAAGAAAATGGTCATGGGAAAGGTGTATTTTTGTCATTTCTCTTCCTGTCCATCCTCTGAAGCTGTTATAGAGAGCTTCAAGATCTATCTTCAGATCTTGGTACCTTGAATTCAGGAGACAAAAATCATACTTCTTTATTCCTGATTTATATTCTAGTGCTCATGTTGGTTTTAACTTGTAATCAATGTTTTGTCATTCAGTTTGCAGAACACAACTAGTATCTTAAATAGGATGTTCTCCTTTCTCTTCTCAGGGAAATGAAAGAAAACAATGGATTGCTCAGAGAGGAGGTGGAGGGTCTCCAGAGGAAGCTAGAACGGTATGAGAAGGTTCAGGCAGAACTGGTGACTTTGGAGTTGGAGAAGGAGGTGAGGCCTGAATAACATAACACGCATGTAGGAGGATTGGTCTTCCTCTTAGTTGTGAATCATTCTGAGTTAAATTTCAAATGTTAACATACATACTGCATCTCTGGTAGGTCTCCAGACCTTTTAGTCTGCTAGGCTTGTCCAAGAATTTGTAATGAGGAAAAAATTAAAAATCAGTAATGTGACAAGACTGCTGTGTATTGTTGAAGCTTCTGCAGCAGACTGATCACCATCGTGACAGCTTTTATTTTAAGACTGCATATAATTTTAAGACTGCATGTAATTTTTTTTCTGGAAATCAAGAATTACATAGAGATGTTAGCTCTTGGTGCACATAGAAGAAGGAGGCTGGAATTTACAGAGAGATCATTGTAGCTCTTAAATGAGACTAGGGGCCTAAGCAGACTGCCAGAAATAGTGCACATTAAATTGAGGCACTGCCCTGGCTCAGTGCTAGGGAATCATGGGAACTGTAATGTATTGTGGCACCAGAGCTCTCTGACAGAGAAGGCTCAATGTCTCAGAAAAAAATACAATTCCCATGATTCTCTAGCACTGAGCCAGGGCAGTGCCTCAATTTAATGTGCACTATTTCTGGCAGTCTGCTTAGACCTTAGGTAGAGTATTTGATCAATACCATTGATTTCTCCATATTAGTGTGAAAATAGTTGTTATAGCATATAGTAGTGTTGTTGATGATAACACATCTAACCCACTCGATTGTCTGGCTAAAAAAGAGGTAGAGCCTGGAGGTGTATTTTCTGTTAGGAAAGGATGATTCATGGCATGCACAGTTGCTGAGAGCCAGTCTGGTGTAGTGGTTTGACTGTCAGACTAGGACCCTGGGGGACTAAATTTTTAATCCCTGCTCAGCCATGGAAACCCACTGAATGACCTTGGGCAAGTCACACACTCTCTGTCTATGAAGATGTGAGAATCTTGTGTGTTTTTCCCTGTCAGTGTATATAGTGGTACCTCTCAACAGGGTCCATAGATACCATAGATACTTATAAAATGAGCAGCCCTTGTGAATAACATCAGAGGCTTTTGTGAGATGAGCTTAGATTGTATGCAGAGGGTGCCTTTTATTTACACTTAGGAAGTATGATGGTACATGTTGATAATGAACCTACAAAGAAATGGGTGCACTTCAGAATGGTGAATGAAGAAGGTAGCTTTAAATTTAGTTACAGCTATATTGACTTTTTGTTCGCTGAACCACTTTCCTTTTTTCCCTTTTCAGAAACTTCAGAGAAAGTTGAATACTTGGGAGAAACTGGACCAGAGTACTGGTTTGGATATCAAGTAAGTGAAGGGTGGTAGTGGAACTCTGGGCCACCAGTATTACAGTTTGATCACTATTATACAGGAGAGCCAACTATTTCCCCTCCTTTCTCCCTTCTGTACCACATATGTAAATTGTAACCCATACCGTATTTTTGATAATTCACTGGTGCATTGAAGAATTTGCCAGCATTTGTCAGCTCTAATGGCCCATTAGTTCAATTCTTAGCTTTTCAAGCTTGCCTGAGTTCTGGTGAAGGGGAATAGAATCTTTCATGGGAGATAAAGCTGTATGCTACCTTAAGTTTCTGCTTGTAAATTTGATAATAGGGAGAGATTATTAAAATTTAGAGTAGTTATAGTGTATGTGATCTTATATTATAGACTCTGAGGATAATGTAGATTAGCTCATCTTAGAAATTCCTGCAGATTGATTTCTTCTCTGTATTAGGAAACATTT